TGTCCTGGGCATCCCTTATTTTTATGCTAACTTCTTGTCATCCTCTCACAGGTATGACTTGTCACAGGTATGACTTGTGTAACACACTGCCCTCTCTTCCAAGTGGAGTATTTGGAAATGCGTTGGTTTCTGTCCCGCCCTGAATTTAATTCAAACCATTTAAAAGCTATGCAACACAACGATTTGAAAGTCAAATATGCAGAGGACAGGAAAAGCCTTCTCCCTGCTCAGTATGATAAAGAAACAAAGCAGATCCTTGCAGCAGCAGGTTTATCAGCTGCTCAAGGCCATGGGAGACTAGATTTAGGATACAGTTTAAATAAAACTGTCCACGTTATTTTATCCACACAAAGGCTTCAGATGTGTAGTACTGGAGGGCCAGGGCTTGATTCAAACTGTAGAGCAGAAGTGTTTGAATGCTGGCTCTGTCGCTGACATAGCTGTTAACTTTAAGAGGTGTGAATCACAAGTTGTTGTGCTATAAAAACTAATTCAGACTCATTTAACACCTTCTTAAACACACTGAAACCACATCTCCCTGTGTGTATTCAGTTTACAGTTATGTCGTACTGCCATAGAGTAGTGGTTAAGGGTCGAACTAAAGGATGTTGTATCGGGAAGAGCAGCTACCTGCTGCAGTGACCCTTGTTCCAAGAGAACAACTAAAAGTAGCACAGTTTGTATCTGCGGTCTACACTACGCACAGCCATGTGCATTTGTGAGGTCAGACAGTGATGCTGGATGAGAAGGCCTGGCTTGCAGTCTCTGCTGTAATTCATCCCAAAGGTGTTCTATGGGTTAAGGTCAGGACTCTGTGCTGGCCAGTCAAGTTCTTCCACACCAACCTCACTCATCCATGTCTTTGTGCACTGGTGTGCAGTCGTGTTGCAACATGGATCCTCTGTGGAGGTCATCAAGAGCACCAAATTCCTTGGTGTTCTGGGAGAGAACCTCACCTGGACCCTCAACACCAGCTCCATAAGTAAGAAAGCGTCTCTACCTCACACGGGACCTGAGAAAAGCCCATGTCCCAACATTCTCATCACCATCTGCAGAGGGACTATCGAGAGCATCCTGAGCAGCTGCATCACTGTGCATGGTAACTGCATCGTATTGGATCACAATACCCTACAACGGATAGTGTGAACAGCTGAGAAGTTCATTGGAGCATGTCTTCCCTCCATCACAGACACCTATCGCACCCGCTGCATCCACAAAGCCACCAGCGTTGTGCACTTCTCACACACACTCTTCACCCTGCTGCCTTCTGGCAAGAGGCACACATGCATACCCTCATACACGTCACTACCTCAAGCACTTATCTGCACAATCTCATACACACACATGCACATCTTCATACACGAAGTTACTTTTTGCACAATGCTCAGTCTTTTTGCATAACCCACTGTCATTGTTGCACTTTTCTATTGCACTGTTGTGTCTGCATCGTTCTGTTGTGTCTGGTGTTTTTGTTTTTTGCACACTTGCACTTTATGGAGGCCTGTGTTGATTGTCCCTTATATGTAGCACCATGATCTTGGAGGAGCGTTGTCTTGCTTCACTGCGTACTGTACCACTGCACATGGTTGAAATGAGTTGGGAGCATGTTCCTTTCACTGGTGCTAAGGGGCAGAGCCAAACTCCGCTCGGCCATAGAAACCCATTCCATGAAGCTCTCTACGCACTGAAAGTCTTTAGTGATGTTGGCAACCTCTGTGTACTATGTGTCTCTGACTTTATGTAACCTATCACTTCCACATTGTTAAAATACCACTGACAGTTGACTGTGGAATATTTAGAAATTTCATGACTGGACTTGCTGCGATCCTATCACGGTACCATGCTGGAATTCACTGAGCTCCTGAGAGCGACCATTCTTTCCCAGATGTTTGCAGAACCAGTCTGCATGCCTAGGTGATTTTTACATATACTTGATTTTTTTACACCTGTGGTCGTCAAAGCGATTAGAAGATGTGAATTCAGTGATTTGGATTGGTGAGTAAATACTTTTTCTTGGCAATAAAGTTTCTCTGGCTTTCACATTCACAGAACTAAAACTGCAAAAATGTATTATTGCTTGATTTTTAAACAGTTGAGACAGGATGGCTGCTAAGGTTTTCACTTGTGTTTCTGTGTATTTGTGCAAGTGATCATAGCAAAATGTGTTGTTGTCACCTTGTGTCACAGCAACCTCCACAAATGCATTTTTGAGTACTTGACAGGTTTTAACATGTATGTGGAAAGACTCCACCAGTTTAGTTGAGTCACGTAATGTTGAAATAAAATTGAAGGCCAACTTCTACACAATGGTTGTGGTCTGAACCATGAGTGCTGAGGAAGAGGTGACAGTAGTTGGCAAAATTAGCCACAGTCATTCTTTTCGTTTGTACATAAGTGTGACTGTGCCCGCTTTAAGGTTCTGGTCTGTTTATTATTTAAATGTCACTATGCAATTTTCAACAACCGCCAGAATTAGGCTAATATAAACATTCAGTTTCAGACAGTTCTCTTTCAAACCCTCTTTTCAGTGTCTCACTGTTGGGAACACTCTGTTAACGCTGCACTAAGCACCTGCAGGTTGATCACTACACTGATTTGAGCCTCAAGTGGAGTCTTTCATTATGAAATACAAATGCATTTATATTTTGGTATTATAAATGGATTTATAACAGCAAAAAAGAAATGCAGCATCATTCACATTCCTCCTCTCTCCTGAATGGTAATGCAAGCGTTCTCTTAGCAGACGCTAGCATGGGTTGTGTCTGCACTGCTTAGTCTCTACCGAATATTCAGGTTGAGCGAGCTCCAGACAAACCTTGCCTTTTTGCAATAGTAAAGAAATAGCTCCGCCCTGACACAAGCATCACAGCTGCCAGTCATCACAGCTGAATCTTGTAACAGGTGTTATGTTTATCATCATCAGACAATACCTGATTGGGACCTTTTTAGTCAGGCTATATTTAAAAAAAATAAAATAAAATTTAGAATTGCTAGAACTGCTACAGGTTGATGTGAACACAACAGTCTATCTGCGTTGTTGACCCCGATAAGAGGTCAAACAGACATTTGGAATGAGGTAACTGGGCCAAAGTGTGAAGTCTGCATAGGACATAAAGCACATGTACCATCCAGGAGGTGCACAGAGTGGAGCTGTACTGTAACAATGACTCTTCAGTGAGCAAAATGATGGAACAGCCCCCCCCCTTGGCAGACAGTGGATAACTAAAGTTCACTTGTTTGTAGACTCAACCAATAAAACAAAAAACCATGAACACACAAATATTTTTTAAATATTATTTTAATACTTTTCTTTAAAAAACAAACAAACAAACAAAAAAAAAAAGAAAAGATGTTGTACTCCATAATCTGAACAAGATGAATCTATTGACCTCAATGCCTCACTCACCAACATACCAACACATTGTTCCGGGTAAAAGAAAAAAAAAAAAAACAAAACATAGCAAAGGGAAAAGAAACTTAAAAACAGTTAAATATGAAAACGGAAAGGAAGTAGAACATTAAAAAAAGGAGAAGAAGAAGACGTGATTATAGAGTCAGAAACACTCATGGATCAGTGGGCCAACCAACAGACAGTCGGGGGGGAGGAGAAAGAAAAAAAAAAAAAAAAAAAAAAAAAAAAAGCTCAGTTTCCAAACACAATGGCATACAACATCCCAAAACTGTTACCATGGATGATAAAAACATCTCAGAAATAAGAGCTAAAAACAACAGAATCAGAACCTATTATACAGACTGCAGAAGCTGGGAACGAGATAGTGGAAGATGAGACGGCAAAGAGACTAAAAACATGAACATGATGAATAAAAATAACAAATCCATAAAAGAACACAAGTAATCAATGAGTCAAGAGCGGATTCATCGGACAACTGGAGCATGATGGGAGGGGGCTACTAAAGTAGTCGCATAAGATGATTGGTGGAACCGCTTCAAACTAGTACAGAGCAAACTACTGCATGGTTTTTAAAATAAAAAAAGGGGGGGGGAGGGACAGGAAAATTAAATAGCAGTAAAAACAAAACCTTTCATATAAAGTGAAAAGAAGTACACGTAAAAAAAAAAGAAGAAGAAAGAAAGTGAATGACGTTTCAGCACTCGATAGATTGGTTTTGGCATAGAGTTAAGAAAAACAAAACCAGAGGAGAGAGAAAAAAGGTGTGTGTGAGAGAACACATCTTTTCAATAGAATCATAAAAAAGTTTTTCTTCTTCTTTACAGTAATTTCTACAAAATCAAAACCAGAGCTCAGAGATGAACACCGAGACGAGCTTTGCTCCCCGCAATCCAAATCCTTCTCATCTTCCTTTTTCCTGTTGACTTTTCATCGTATAGAATATATATATTTATATATCTATATTTATACGTATTTGTTTCTATTTATATATATAATATGTATAATTTGTGGGGTGCAATCATTAGTTTACAGGCCGGAGCACTAAGGCGAAGGACACGTTGAAATTTTTTTGTTTAAATGTGGTGACTGGCTCTTTCCTTGCTGCTCTCTTCAACCTCTTCTGTTGGTAACTGGAGAAAGAGAGAAGCTGAAGGATGTAAAGGTCTTAGAAAAAGTGTTTGAATAGAGCCATGGCGGGGGGTTTCCCCCATCCCCACGGTGCCTTAAGAAGAAACAACAGATGACCGCTCAACCTGGCAAACGTGAGCACCCCGGCCCGACCCTCCCAGTTAAAAAAAAAAAAAAATCCAACTTAAAAATAAAATAAGAGACAAGATCCAGAGAGAAAACTAAAAGCATTATTATTCATTCATCTGTGTGTTTTAACCCCATCTTTTCATACATGCTTTTTACTGTTTTTTTTTTTCTCTTTAAATATAGATGCTCAGTCCCCTCCTTTTCATCATATCCTCATATGGGGTGGGGGGGCAACCATTTGGACCTGTTGGCCATGGTGATCAAGAACCTACAACCAGAGACACCAAGCCGGGGAAGGGGGGGACAAACAAAAACAAAAAACAAACAAACAAAAGGGGGGCTTGTTATTTTAATTTCACTTCCCCTCATCTCTCATTCACGACACAAACCAGCTGTTTCAACTGCTGAGAGAAAGGGACAGTTAGTACTGAGTCTGTGTATGCAGATGTGTGCATTTGTGTAAGCAGCGACCGTGTGTGTCACAGCACGGGTGTTTGGAAGCGATCTGCAAATCTGCTTCTTGTGAGTCTACGGGGTCCTGCTCTCGTGCCTTCCTCTCAGAACAGATTCTCTTCAAAAATTGCCATCAGGTCACTCTGGAAATTGATGTCAATGGTGTCTGCCATCTGCGGAGGAACCAGAGGACGAGAAGCAGCATGAAAGATAGATTCTAAAAAGAAATTCATAAAATAATTCCCTCCCTCTTCCCCCCCCCCCCTTTTCTCTCCCATACCGCCTCTCTCCTGCGCCTCTCCTGTGCCTCACGCCGTGCCGTCGCCCTGTCCTGGTTGAGCGTGTTCTGTGAAGCGGAGGTGGGTGGGGGGGCTTGTGATTGTGTAGGTGGGGCCTGCGGAGAGTGAGTGGGAGGAGTCGAAGCTGGAGGAACTGGAGCGTGCGGCGACTGCTGATTTGGGCGACGGCGGTCGTCATCTGGCACTCGGCGAAACGGCTCCGCCGTGTCCTTGTCGTCACGGCTGCGACAACAAGCAAACAAAAAGTGAGACAGCTGGCAGTCAGCACTGCATGATGCCCATAAATGATTCCCATCAAGGTCACACTCAAATACAACCTAACCAACAGCAGATTCTTTAGTCCAGTTAACTTGAACCTCGTTTTGCATCGAGGGTCACATACAACCCACTTTGATCTTAAGTGAGTGAAACTCGACTTTCTGTCAGTTTAACTACACGTTCAATCCCTGCAATGTCTTAAGACAAGATGAAGCAGTGCACACTGTCCCACGTTAATAAAATAATATTTTTTATTGATTTTTACTTTTTTCCTTGCACCTTTCGTGCAGCTCATGCTTTGTAGTCGTTTCAGTATTCTGGGAAAACCAACCCAAAACGTAGCAGCTGATTCACAACCGGAGAAACCCACTTTCAAGGTTTCACATCAAAGTGTGAGAGTTCACACTTACTCACAGTTGACTTGTAAGTTTGGCGGAAATGTCTGACATTTACATCAGCTGGCAGGATACTAAGCTGTGTGATACTAAACCATTAAATGAGCAAAAGCAATAAAGTGGTGATGAGCACGATATTTATGACTGTTTAAGTCAAGCTAAATTCTAATAGGATTACAGCTTCTGACACGTTTCCCTGGTCACACATTACCTGCTAACCTCCCACTCACCGTAGCTTCTCTTGCTCCCTCCTGGCCTGTTCAGCCTGTGCTTTCAGCTGTCTCTCTCTCTCCTCCTTCTCTCTCGCGACCTGCTTGTATCTTTCAAAGCTGTCGCTTGAAGAGCGCACCGAGAACGCCGGTGTGGACTGGGACTTTTGAGCCAGGCTGGCCCAAGAACCCATGTTCTTTATCTTGACCTCCTATAAAAAGAAAAGAAACAAACAGAAAAACCAGGTCAAGTTTTAAAAAAGGCCAAAATGAAGGACAGAAAAAAGAAACCAGGAAGGACAGTCTGGTTTAATGTGGCTTATGAAATTATTCTCTCATCTCAGGCTTCTACACACCTGTGCCTTCTTGGGAGCGATGGGAGTTTTGGGTTCTTGCTTGATTTTGTTGTCCTGCTGGGAGCAGGGTGGTGCAGGCGAGTCTGCCAAATGCGAAATGGGACGAGAGCCATCCATCGGCTTTATATCTAACCCTGTGAGAGACAAAGAAAGAGTAACTCTATATACTACACCCTTTAAGCCACGTCGACACTAATTTCCATTTTAAAATCCAACAACCTTTGTGAGCTTTAGCTGGAAAACTTTTTATTTGGAATCTCCAGGATTAGTTTGTGGTGTGTTCGTTTGGACAGACATTAGTTCTGAACAGCTGTTAAAATACTTTGCAATGAAAACAACACTTGACTCAATGCTGCTTCCATAAGCTGGCTATAGGGAACTGTGGGAGAATGCATACAAAAGCCTTCTGGATTCGATATATACAGTGGTCCCTTGCTATAATGCGGTTCACCTTTCGTGGCCTCGCTGTTTGCGGATTTATTTATTTTTTGTTTGTAATTTTGCTGTTAACCATGTCAAATTCACATAAATCTTCGATGGCTAGTAGTGGTGCAACGGATCACGGTCATCCGTAATCTGAACAGATCCCACTCCACGGTTTGGTACGCACGTGATCCGAAGATTCGAAAAAGAAGAAAAAAAAAGTATGTGTATGGTGCGCATGGTGGGTCTGTCAAGAGATAGTTATGGCCAGCGCTAGCGATCCAAGTGGAGGAGCAGAGGGGTTTGCGGCATTTAAGCAACCCTTTGCTGCCCAATCCAAGCGGGCTAAAGCTATTACAAAAGCTATTGGGGTGTTTAGCTGCAGACGGGAGGCCGTATGCCATTGTGCAAAACAAGAGGTTTAAACTATGATCAACGTGCTTGAGCCACGCTATGATATCCCGCTCGCGTCCACTTTAGTGGCAAGATCGTTCCAAGCATGTATGAGCGGGAAAAGATTTAGGTTGTGGCTGAACTGTCCTAGGCGTCTTCTGTTGCCCTAACTACTACAAAAGCTCATGATATCACAGCGGAGTGCGATATAATGAGCGTTATGTATTATTGTAGGGTCTACCTTACAATAATAAAGCGCTTTGAGGCGACTGTTATTGTGATTTGGCGCTTTATAAATAAAATTCAATTGAATTGGTAGATACAAAGACTGTACTATTTTGTACCATAATTTCTTTTTAATAATTGCGTGGGATGAGTCTTGAGTTGAATGTTTTTAACAGGAAAAAAATACTTCAATAAGTAAATGTTAAATTTTTGTCTTTTTTCGCTGATCTGAAAATTGATCCGATCCGTGATCCGATCCGAACCGTGAGATTTTTGATCCGTTGCACCACTAATGGCTAGCAGTGTCAGTACAAGTGCTGTACTGTATGTTTGCAGGTTTTCTACCCAACAAACACAACAATGTTGACGAAACGTTTTGCACCATCACAGGTACCTCCAGTAGCACCCAAAAGGCAAAGGAAGATGCTAACCATCGCACAAAAAGTAGGACTTCTGGTAGAAGTTACCGTATGTTTCGGACCACAAGGCACACTGGATTATAAGGTGCATTATGCAAAACAAAACAGTCAGATAAGTCAAACTTTACTCAACTCATTGTTTTTGCTTCCTCTACCTCCGTACCATTGACTCACTAATGTTGAATTCTCTTGCAGCTGCCCTATTCCCGTGTTCTGGAACTGAAAACAGGGTTTGATCTTTGGTTTCATTCTATAATACTAAACTTGTTTTTCTACGAAAGTTTGAACTTTGAGATTGTTTAAAAGTGTGAAAATGTTCATGCCTGTCTGAAAAAAGTGTATAAAGTGTGTAGTGAAGGGTTTTACAGCCTTAACACATCTATAATAATTGCAAAAAATAAAACTGGCTACTTCGCAATTTCACCTTTCGTGGGTTATTTTTAGAATGTAACTCGATAAACGAGGGACCGCTGACCAATGAGGTTTGAGCACAACAAAAAAAATGCAAAAAGTTACCTGCAGCTAAATGTATGATTCTTTTTATTCACATACGACTGGATTGTAAAACAGACACATGCACACTTTTGCACTCACTGTGTTTGTTGTCAGGTTTGTGTGCATCCTGACGAACGCCTGGGCTGAAGGGCGAGGGTGGCAGCACTGGTGACTGGGAAAGCTTCTCTTCTTTGATCCCCATGTTTGACCTCTGCTCCTACACAGGATGAACAACCACTTTTGTCAAATTGCTTCTTTTTAACATTTGAACTGATTATTGTACTTGTTTGTACTCACTCGTTCAAACTATACATTTAAACATAAGATGAGGAGAGGCATTAACTTCCAATCCAGACAGACAAACAGTACAAAGTCAATGCTAAATCACTTACATGCTTCTTGGTCTGTGGAGGCGACTGTTGTCCCATTGAATGGAACGCAGGCATCGGAGGAGAGTGCATCATCAGCGGAGAGGGGCAACCTGCAAAAACATCGGTGTCCCATCATTTAATTAAATGCCTCATTTAATGTGCGCCTACAGTGATTATGTCTAATCGGTACCAGGCATTAGGGTCGACACAACGTGCAGTGATTTGTAACTTTCAAGTATTGTTTTACTGTGCTGTTACACAACAGGAGCAGCCTCATGTTTTCAGCTGTGACCACAGGTCACATGACAGACGCCTTGCAACATGTAGCAATGTTTTAAAAGACAGAGATTTTGCTCCACACTATGGCCAAGTGCAGATATGACACAATATGTTGGGATAAGTTTTACTTGGTACAGTTCACTGACAAAGACTGCGAATGGGCTGTGGTGAGATCTGTGGTCTAGGTCTGTTTGTGATCTGCTCAGTCTGTCGACAGCAGTGGAGGGAAATTGACTGGAAAGAAGCAGCTGTCAGCAGAGCAGCTATCTGAATGTGTGTGACCATGAGGCATTAAGACACCTTACCTGTTGTGAAAGGCTCCACTTTGCTTTGTGGCGATGGCTGCTGTTGGTGCTGTTGCAGCTGCTGTACCTTCTGCTGCAGCACCCCGCCCTTCTGCTGCTGCTGCGGTGTTGACGTGTGCGTATGCGGGAACGACTGCTGCATGTGCGCTTGGCCTGAGCCGTGTCTCTGCGTCAGAACGGGGGCGGCTGTTGTCATGACCTGCGCATGCAGTGGCGGCCCCAGCTGCACGGGAGAATGCGTGTGCAGCGTTTGCGTGGGGGCTCTGGGCTGAAGTGACTGCAGGAGGCTGTGGACCTGGCTGAGCGGTGGGGTCTCAGAGCTGGTGGGCGTTGGCTCCTCGTCGTCCTCCAGCAGGGCTTGGGGAGGCTGCGCCGAGAGGGTGCCCAGGATGCCGTGGGATGGCGGTGACGGGACGCGAGGGCGGGGGACAGGCTGTGGGGGGAGGGTGAGAGGAAGCGAGGGCTGAAGCTGAGGTGAGGAAGCTGGAGGCATTGAAGGGAGGGAGGATGGAGGAGGCTGTGCAGGTTTGGGTGGAAGTGGCGCTGCACGGTTGCTAGGTCTTGATGGTTGCTGGGGAAGAGCATTATGGATTGCTGTAAACATAGGAGAGAAGAATGGGAAAGGCATGAATGTAAAGAACACAGGAAACAGGAGGATGTGTATATCATGAAAGCTCCAGCTCTTCAAGCTTCACCTTTCATTAGACTGAAATATTTCACCATTTCCCTACATATAGATTACAGACATATTTAAAAAAAACAAAAAAACAACACACAACAACCTTGCAAATGTAATTATCTGCTCTTCCTTCCTTGGCTTACTCAAACACTTTAAACTACTAGACACTACGCAATGGCAGCATGTCACTTTGGAATAATTCAGCCATTTATTGTTTTAAAAGAAGCGATACTGGAGGAGAAGGTAGAGAAGAGGAAACTGCATTAAACAGAGCTGCTGCTGAAGGAGCAGAACTCCAAGAGAAAGAAGAAGAAAGTCCAGACTAGCAAGCGTTGATGTGTGTTTTGAGTAGCTGACATGAGCCTCCAGCTTGAAAACATTTACAGTTAATAGTGTTGCTCAATACAATAAAACCAAAAATACTGCTGCCCCCACTCCTCATTCTCATAGTAGATGATAGTAGATGAATTTAAAAATCCATGGTGATTTTCAGAAAAGTGGACCTCCTTGACCTTGAGGTCGAGGTCACTGAGGTTCGAACTTGTCTAAGATTTTTAGCAGCTGTACTTATGATATCAATTTGAAAACCATACGTCACTTCATTCTTGAATTATTGTATTCACAAGAGAAGAAAAACACTATGGACAGTTCCAGGAGTTTAGAATCTAAATTTTTATAGCAGTGATTTTACTTACTTTATTTTGACTGACGAAGCAAGCAGTCTGAACAATTAACAATTAACTGTTAAGTTGTAACAGAAGATGGCAGCTGTCTTCTGAATAAATGGAACAGTCATTTTTTGGTGATAAACATATAATTATCTCCAGCTATTAAAAGATGTACTGTCACAATAAAGGAGGCCTATTATGCACACTTCAAGCTATACGCTTTAATTCTTAGAGACTTAAAGAATAACTGGTATAAAATGATCCTCATTTAGTCCACCCTCTGAAACATCCCAATATAATTCCCTTTGCTCTCTCTTTAAGGAAGTTTTGCTCTGATTGGCTGCCCACTGATAACAAAGAGTAGTTGGGTGTAACCTCTTGCTCCACTCTCTGCAACATCAGAGCTAAAAGCATGGGAGAAAAAAGTGCCTTAAACAAATTATTTGAACAGCCTGACAGTCTGAAGCTTTTAGCACGCATGTAGTTCTTGGACAGACACTGAACTCATTACTCCAGAGTTGTGTTTGAGGATGCATCAGTACATAGATGGCCAAAAATACGGGAAAGCATAAAAATCCACCTTTTTTTGGCTCTTGATGAAGTGAATACAGAGTTGTTAGCAGAGTCCTGTTCTGGTGGACGTACCTGGAGAAGGGATGATGGGATGTTGGTTTAGGAAAGGGTGCGTCTCAGAAGGCGTCTGGTTGGTGGGCGCGTTGGTATTGAGGAGGCCAGAGGCAACAGGAGCACTGGCAGTAGTAATGGTTGCATTAGGCTCTGTGTTGGACTGCGTCAGGTGAGAATTCATGAAGTGGGCCAGAGGGTCAAATCCTGAGGCCAATAGCTGGGAGGAATCCAGAGAGGGGACAGGGACAGGGAGGGAAATAGCTGGAGCCGGGATATATGGTGGTTTGGACTGGACCACCTGAGGCTGTGTCTGAGGTTGAAGCTGAGGCTGAAGCTGAAGCTGAAGCTGAGACTGAAGCTGTGTCTGAAGCTGTGACTGAGGCTGAAGCTGAGGCTGCTGTGGCTGAGAAGTGACTGGGCCCACTCCACTACCGATGAACTGGTGCTGCGGTCTCTTGCTGTCCTTGTTAGTTGAAGTCTTCTTCGGTTGCTTGGGAACCAGCCCTGTACAGACAGCACAATATGAAATGAAGAAATATAACATGTTGAAGACAAAACCTAGGACTCTGCTGGTGCAGACTGCCGAGTGTATATTACCACTGTCAGAGTCTTCACTATCTGAGGAGTCACTGCTGCCTGAAGATGAGGATCCCGTCTTCATCTTTGTCACATTTGGCATTTCCAGAGGCTTCTCTGCTGCAAAAAAGAGCCACAGCATTCAGAGATTAAACAGAATATTGTTCACATAATCCAATATAACAGAAGCAGCGACACATCTTCCAAAAGAAACTATCAATATGTGAAAGTAAGATTGCACCCAGATAACGTTAACTGGAAAGCATGGGGAACAAAGACTTAAAAACAAGAGCTCGCATGGGAATCTTTGGAATTACGAACCTTATGTGAAAGTGTTTTAAAAAAAGGTTCTAAATGTGCAAAAAGCCTACCTGATGGTTTTTTCTTCTTCCTGAGGCAGCTTGAGACATACTTCTCTAGCTCTCTCAGCGTGGAGGGCTTCAGCGTCTCAAAGTCAATCTCAATCTCATCCGGATTGGAGTTTTTCAGCGACGGCTCACGGGTTTGGATTATGTGCACGACACGGCCCAGCTTGTCTCCGGGCAACTTATTGATATCCAGGCTCAGCTGGCGCTTCTCCTCATACGACATTGGCTTGCACCTGTCAGCAGACATGTCTGGAGGAGGACGCATTACAATAGGTTTACAATAGTCCCAGGCATGCATATCAACAAAACTCAATCATATGTTCTTTAATTAACGCACCGATGTCAACATCTTCAAGAGAAGCCGAAGGGACGAGAGGGGTCGGCCCAGGCTGAGGGGGCACAGCAGGCCGGGGATTTTTAACTCCTTCTTTTTTACTGTAAATGAGAAGTTCTTAGATGAGCTCCATGCAGTGCAGGTACAATAACCTCAGTTTTACGTCTGGAAAACCTACCTGGGCTTTTTCCTGTCTTTCTTTGCACTGATAGGTTCTTTACTACTTTTGCTTTTCTTAGATGCCTGAAGCATTGCAAGCGGGAGAGTCTCCAAAGGTTCCTCTGCTCCCACTTTTTTCTTGTGCTTTTCTTTCTTCTTTTCCTTCTTCTCCCTCTCTTTCTTCTTGGGCTTGCTGACCTGTGGCTGGGAGAGCGCTGCCAGCTGCTCATGGACAGCTTTAAGCTGAAACACACACACAGATGATAAGCCTCTGCACATTTGATTCTCCAGCATTCAGCCGTGTTTTACTCAGACCATTCTACACGGCCAACCCAACTCTTGTGTCTAATTAGCCAACCTCCCCTTAACTTTCCCTCATCTAACCTGTTCCTGTAACTCAGCTAATCGCTGTTTCCTTTCTTGTTCCGAGTCTCCTCCTGAAGACTCTGATTCTGAGGAGCTCGAGCTCTCATCTTCCGAGGCGGCAGAAGGAGGTGGGACTTGTCGAGTGGAGGGGGCAGGGTGGAGAGCTGATGACGGGGTGGGAACAGGGACTGGCTCCTCTGGGTCATCGGGCATTTTGGCGAAACGCATCTCAAACACGTCCTGTAAGATTGAAGGACAGCAAGAAAAGCTGTCAGCTCGAGTGGAGCAACAGACACGTTCAGATACTGTGCTATTTGGTGAACTGGCCCTTTACGGGTTCAAATCTCTATTTTAGAAGCTCTTCTAAAACTGTTAAATCACACTAGCTTTTTATGCTGTACACCATAGACTTTTTTTTTTAACCCTCTATGTGAATTTCCTCCATTTCTTTGTCGCAGAAGGTCAGCAGCTCAAACACAAGGCAAGCTTTATCAGATATGTAACTGCAATAGAGGATGCAACATGTAATATGTAAGCAGCCTATGAATAAGAGAAGAGCTGACTGCTGGAAGTCATCGAGGTTGTACTGGAGTTTGTGCTGCTTAATTAACTGCTGTGCATGCTAGGGCTGTTCGATATAACGATATATATCGGCTGACGATATAAAAACTATTGTTTCATTTTACGCTATCGTTTGTTTCGTGGTGTCGCAAAATAAACTGTTTACGGCAATATTTTTTCATGGTTTTGATGTCACTGTAGTGGTTATATTAATTTCTTAAAGTTCTCTCTTTCTCTTATACTTAATATAACCACACTATGGACAGACAAGCGCCTGTTTTTATGCGTTGTGGTTAGCAACAACGACGGTAAAACCATCGCGTGTCTGCTTGTTTATGTTCCACATAAACCTTTCACAATAAAGCTCAAGATCCTGTTGAGACTTTTCAAAATAAACTGAATCACGTGAAAAAGTATGCAGAGTGTTTACGGATGAGAAGCAAAAAAGAGCCGCCGGGTGTTAAAAAAAATAAACCTTAGACTCAAACGTTAGAACAGGCTTTCCCCCGCAGCACGCCGTGTAATAAATACTCACAAAGAAAACAGCGGCCGTTACAACCTGTCTAAAAATGTGTAGTTTCATGCATCGGTTAAAACACTCGACTCCAGCTACACGACGCCCAGCTGGAAACACTTCAGCTACCCGAGATTCACAGAATTTACAGAAAATGTTAAATTTTTGTGATTTATATCGTTATTGGGTAGATGTTTAATATCGGGATATGAGATTTTGGTCATATCGCACAGCCCTAGTGCATGCTCTTTTTCTCTCACTTTACTTTGGTGCTGACTTAAAGGTTTTCTACATAAGAAAAACTACTCTGTAACCTACAGCAGTCATCAATCAACACCAGCTTGATAGATGCTGCAAAGGTGTACTGCTTTACAAAGAAAACAATCCTGCAATCATCCACTTGGGTTCTGCAATGATCTTCAGGCCTGAATTTAGCCAATCCCAAAATCTCTGCTGTCTCACTGATAGGTCATCTCTGACTTTCTTTTTTCCAGCTTAATGTTTATGCTTTAACTTAAAAGTCTTTTACTTACACCAAAACCTCTTTGTTACACATATCAAGAGTTCAGATCAGCAGCTACAAAATGCAAATCAAACACATGGAATAAACAATAAGACGTTAAAACTCATTAAGATGTCATGATATAACGAGGAAATTGTCCACATCCACACACTGCAAAGCATGTCACCTAACAATCAAACCTTTGTACAATAAGATCAAAATTGTGTGGGCACAGAAGGTTATGAACTTTATGTGATTGTTCAAAACTTTTCTATGAGATTTTGGTAAGAGCTTTTTTCCAAATTTAGAGGGCGGTCTAAAGACTTTTGCACATATAGGTTATATAATGTAGGTTACGGTTTGCAGTGTGTGAAATGTGTGGTTTACCTGTAATTTGCGTGCCATGGCAACCACATCGTGGTCTGGAGGGTTGTATTTGTAACAGTTCGAGAACATCAACCTGACGTCTGCTGCAAATTCTTGAGCATCTCTGTACTGTCTGTTGTCCAGCTTTTTCTGGAGGGGATTAAAAAAAACAAAACGGTAGCGATCAAAATTCTGCAAATTTAAAGACACACGAGACATGCACGTTGGCAATTTAAAAGTTGACTTATCAAGCTGAAGCTTAGCTATTTATTTGGTATTACCTAGTTTACATCCTCTTGATTATTATTCACTGTCTGACGTTTGTGTGGCTCATTAGTTGTTTAAATGTTTGTGGTAAAAAGATTAAATAAAAGCAAACTAAACAAAGAAATCCAGCAAAATGTCAAAAAGCTTTGGTATCAAGAGCAAATTTTATCACAGGCAGACTCAGGCTGAAACCTTCCTAACTATAAAAACAGGTTTGTACATGTTGTAATAAAATCACCTTGATGGTGCTGAGATCCATGGGGTGCTTGATGATTTCATGGTAGTCGTGGAGACCGAGAGCTTTTGCATCAACAGGTTTGTAAAAAGGCCAGGCATATGCCACGTGTTTCTTAGACAGCATCTCTCTGACGAGGCGTGCACACCAACGTAACTGCTCCTGGCGCTTCGGTGTTCCTGACCCTCCCATCTCCAAGACTCCTCCAAGTTGATGCTGAGAGTCTGGCTGTGATGCTTCTCTTTTGGGCTGCTTTGATGGGCGGCTGCTGTCTCTGCGCGGCCGGGTCTCGGCAGAAATGGGAGACGATTCACTGAGCTGATCGTTGGCGGTGGGTGTCGTGGTATCAGCTTTCCTCTTCTGGCTCTTCTTCTGCTGTTGGAACAGAAGAGTTTAGAGGTCACAGTCTGGAAAAAAAAAACAAACACATCAGCAAGTGTCTTTGTAACAATAGATGTTGTCTTACCTTGATGAGAGCAGGCGAACTTTGCAGTATGGGGGCAGTAGGATGGAGGCCTGGGTGAGTCACAGTCGGAGGTGGAACTGAAGTCATTCCCTGGGCCAGGACGTCTGAAGTGGTGAGGGAGAATGGAGGCCCCAGATGGGGCGCATGATTTGTGGTTGTTGGAGGCACACGGGGAAGGTGAGGTTGGGCTAGACTCTGGGCCAGAGTCTGGACCAGAGGCTGGGCCAAGGGCTGAGCCAGGGGCTGGACCAGGGGCTGGACCAGAGGCTGGACCAGAGGTTGGACCAGAGGCTGGACCAGAGGCTGGACCAGAGGCTGGACCAGCACCTGGTCCAACCTCAGGGGTAAGGCAGGAGAACCTTGGGGGGCGGGTGCAGCACGGGTATGTGGAGTGGTTGAAGGGGACGAAAAGCCTCGTGTATGCGGGGTGGTAGAGGGGGATGATGAGTCATGTCCTGAATCTGATTTTGAAATCAGACCTAGAAGGAAGAACACGAGAGCAGCACAAAGACAAAACTTTAGCATAGCTAAACATTAGGTCAACAGGTTTAAAGCAGATCACCAACAGGCATGACATAACCAAAACCTGATTTCCCAATAAAAGTTCCATATGAGGTGTGGCTGATTTAGTGGGTGGCGGAGAGCAGACAACAATGAAACCAAACATACCAGCTGAGCTGGCTAGATTAGCAGCATTTGCATATCACTGCTGGTGACGCATGGAAACTCTTCCATGAAGTCTTAAGTGTACACCAGGAAGTAGAATCACATCCTCTGGCATAAAGTTGGAGTACCAATTCTACTGAGGGAAAGCAGCAAGAAGAATTCTTCTGCTTCACAGAAAAACAAATGAACGATGCTAAAATAATACCTGTGTCCTGCCTGCCTCCTCTGCGTCCCTTTGTAACCACAGCAATCTCAGTCTCCTCCTGCGGCATCTCTGTAATCTTCTGGAGAAAGAGCTTTTCCAAGGCTTCTGCCATTAGGACAATATCATCCCCGGGCTAAACACACAAACAGATGAAAACCGCAGAGCACATTAGCCACAATCCACGTCTCTTAATGTCGCTGAGCAGGGCAGTCGCATGTGTGCAGAACTTCTAATGTGGCTGACCTTGTTGTAGATGTAGCAGTTTGTGAACATGGTGTTAAAGTCTTGGATACACTCCTGGGCATTCCAGTAGTAGTTGTTCTCCAGGCGTTTTTTAATCGTGCCCATGTCCATAGGATTCTTTATGATCTTATAATAGTCCTTAAAGAAGAGCAGGGAAACGAGTATTAGTATTTTAGATAGACAGAAGAATAATTAAGAGAGTTGAAAGAAAACAGAATTAAAAGCTCATCCAGTTCCTCAAGGGAATGACATTCATATGAAAACTGGCTATTCCCTGCACAAGTTTAAATACTATGCTAATAGGATCCTAAAGAATTATATTTACCATGTAAAGTAACTCAGGAAAGCTGCTCAGGATTATAGACTGAACTCAGTTTATGGGTTACTGAAAAGGCTAGTGAAATTCCATTCTCAAGCCCGGCGCTCAGCATTTTCCTTGTCACCATCTTTGTGTTTTGAATTTGGATAATCCTCCTTTCCGACTCTCATAATGACTATTTACTGAATGAATGTGAAACTAGTGAAATAGCCCACAAAATTATCAGAGGTCAAAGATTAAGGGAGCCGAGCACCATTTTCCAAATACATTTTTAGAGACTTTGGAATCTTTTTTGCATTCATTTTAATGGACATTAAAGAAACTCTAGGTTTAAAGCGCTTCTGTTTTCATACATAGAAGACATCCATTTATTTTCTTTGAATATTCCTCCAAAAATTACCTCCCATCTTTTTTTTTTTCTCCAAACCAATTTTCCTTGATTTCAATGGAAAATATCTTAAGTTCAGGGAAACTAATATGAACTTACTGCCATATTAAAACTACAACATTCAGAAGATGGACTAAAAAATTGTTACAATAATCTGAATTATCCTGTTGCAGGTCATGTAAACCTCACTGAGCTTCACTGAGTGAATGGGTAAATGCAGAGAGGAATTTCCCCACGGGGATCAATAAAGTATACGTTATTATTATTATAAACAACAACAAAAACAACAACAACAACAACAGATAATTAAGAAATCAGAGGCTCAAGATTTGGAGGTAAATAAAGTTTTGTAGTCTTCTGCACATGGCACGGGTCAGCTGTTACTCACAGATTTCACGTTTATATTGTGAAATAGTTCATAATGAGATGGAGGCTTGATCCAGCTCTCCTCTGGATCAATCCTGCACTCCACCTGAGTCTCAGTCACAATGTCACACAGTCCTGACAGTTTCTATCAGCTACCCTTGGATCAAAAACAGAACGATCCTCCTTCGGCTGCCTGTCATTGATCTGAACTGCTGAACAGATCTGTGCTTACCCTGTAATACGCTTCTCATTAGTACATTACTCAGTCCTTCATGGTGTCTGCTGCTTCTTGAGCCTCTAATTTGTGCTTTTCTTGACAGAATTTTGGTTGCTATTGAAATAAACTGGCTGCTTCTTTGTATCTAAATCACTGCACTGTTAGTAGATCACCCTCCAATCACAGCACATAATTTAACAACAGCAAAAACAGCAGTCACAGCCCTAGATGCATCCTTAACATCCTCCCTCTGAAAAACCAACACCTGCAGCAAAAAGTCAGTGCCAAGACTAAAGGTACTACCTTGTGTGTCTCCTTGGTAACCATAACTAGAAGACCACAGAAGACTGCAGGAGAGTTTTTTTCCCTACTTAACTGAAATACTCAATGTGACGTGTCGCAAAGTGTCAAATGAGGAAATGCAGAAAAGAAAAACACACTTTCTGAAAAGCAGAAAAGGCAGCGACATGTTTTACTGCAGGGTGCCACCATCACCGGGTCCTACTGTGTGAAACTTTGCATATGGAATTCATTTACTAGTTGTTACAGAGCTATCTTTGTGCTCAACTCTTATTGCACACACACTGAAACAAACACACATGTGACTCACAGGCAAATTGAGTTTGATGGCATCTACAGGAGCCTGGAAGGGCCAGGCAAAATTGTGTTTCCATAATGTCTTCAATACCACTTTTTGCAAGTACTGAAAAAGAGCAAAACCAAAAAAATAATTATACACACATTAAATAAGTGAAACTGACATTTCACTAGCAGACATGGTTCACAAATCAACGTCCTACTACCTGCAGCTGGTTGGTCTGTCGTTTGGGTCTGGAGGGGTTCCATGTTTCGGGGGGTGGAGGGTTGAAGGGGATAGGCGGTGGGGCGGAGGTAGGGTTCTGGCTGCTGCCTGCCTCCAGTCCGTCCCCCATCGCAGAGGTGGGCTGCAGTGGCTGAGCAGACACTTTAGGCAGATTGGACCTGGCAGGGGCAGGTGGGACCGGGGGGAACCCCTTCAGGCCATTCCACTCCTCACGTGACTCTCTGAAAGAACCACAGAGGAAAACATTATCTCTGCAGCCGTTATGAGAATTTTGACATGACTTTCTCAGAATGTATCTCACATTTAGCATTACTGCCACACGTTGAATCTATCTAGATCAGACCACTTTTTACATGTTCTGTCTCAATTATCTGTCTCACGACTAGGGATGGGTACCGGTAATGGCACCGGTTCTGACATAAACGGTAGTAACCAGACCGAAAAGCAGCGCACATGTCGGTGCTTTTTTTCCTGAGATGTCATACACTTTAGATTCTAGCCAATCGTTTGGCGTACCTGGGCCCGCCTTTCAGAGGATAGTAGGCGGGCCCAGGTACGTACGTTCTTTTAGAGCAGAGCTGCAGAATAAAAAGTCTGGCTGTACTTCACAGCAAAAGATGCAAACTCAGCAGCCTGCAACAAGTGCTTTAAGGTGATACTGTGCAGGAGGTAACTCCTCGAATCTGATGAAACACCTGGCGACGTATAGCATTTTGTTAAAAGCCGAGAAATGCACCGTATTTGATAGCTTGCTGCGAGACCTCACACCGTGCACATCTACTGCGGGTGTGCTGCCTATTATCGGACCCGGAGTTAGCAACATCCCCCAAAAACCCAAAGAGGAGAGTCCTGGCCCCTAGCCCTGCCAGTGTAGCAGAAATGATGACGGATGATGATGGCAGCAGCAGCCGTTCTTCTCTGCGTGAGTAGCTTAATGTTGTTCGTGTGTAATTTACATTGAGTAGGCTAACCACGTTATTACATTAATGCATATAAGGTGAACTAGCAAACACCGTCGTAGTTACATGCGGCTGTCTTCTTGTTTGATGGCAGATACTCCCTTCACCCTGGCCAAAAAGGCTAAAATGACCAAAGAAAAAGTGGGAAACAGCTAAACATGAGAGGTTTTTGGACAAAATTGGTGTTTTTTCCATTGATTGAGCACTGCTTCCAGCCAAGAGTGATACCATAAATGTTTTTACAAAAAAACCAGCTGAACATGAGAGGTTTTTGGACAAAGTGTGTGTTCTCCATTCTTTAAGCACCGGTTCGAGCACTGTTTAAGCACCGGCACTGTTTCAAAAGTACCGGTTTGGTACTGGTATCGGATAAAACCTAAACGATACCCATCCCTACTCACGACCACAACCCAGTGTGAGCATTTTCTTCTACAGTACATCGCCAAAGGTCTCTGCGTGAGAAAGAGAGGCAACTTGGCAAAGGGTCAATCTTTTTCACCCCGCTCAAGAAAACAATAAAGATCTCATCTTTGACACATTCACTGCTCTTTAAGCTGTGACTCAAACTAGGGCTGGGCGATATGACCCAAAATTCATATCTCGATATTTTTTAGCTGGATGGCGATATAAGATATATATCTCGATATATATTTTTTTTAAGCCATAAAGTAAGAACAAAAAGAGAGTTCTTAGTCAAAGCTGTGTCCCAGATGTCACACAGGCACTTTTATTAACATACAGCACAGATGGTCATGAAAAATTACTCAAAATTAAATTATGAGCATTCATTAAATAATAATGCTCCATAAATAAAAGAAAACAAGGTTGTTTTTGTGCTAAACAAATGTAAACTAAAAGACGCTGAGCGTAATAACAAAGACAGACAGATTTCACAGCTGCTCTGTTCCCAAGTTTTACTGTGTGACTGATAGCCTGGAGTTTGAAATCCGCTTCATAACCACGGCTCTTACAGGTGCCATTTATGGTCCTTATACACACACAGTACGGTAATATTACGTTGATGCACAGTACGTATCACTCCGCGAAGCTCTTCGGTAGCCGTAATGCGCCGACAATCTATCAAGCGGTGCAGCTCCGTAGCTTACCAAAGTCGTACTCAAGCATTTTTGACAGATTGCTGAGCACCGTGTTCCACATAAAATCGGTTCGCGGCCATCAAGCACAACCAGAATTCATACATAAGGCGCGCTATCAATTTTTGAGAGAATGAAAGGATTTTAGGGTTAGCGCTGTTAGCTCGTTAGCGCGGTTAGCTCGTTAGCATGTTTAGCTCGTTAGCACGTTGACGCCGTCCAGCCCCACGCATGGGGCGATGCGCACTAACTCGTTAACGGAGATTTGCCGTGTCCGTCTTGTCGCTGCCTGCACGTGAAGCGATGGGGTAGGAGGGGGAGTTGTCTTCAGTTAAGGCGAGGCGGAGTAACGTTGCGTAGAGACGAAAGTGGACGAAAGAGAGGCAAACCTGCGGCTCCACAACTATAATTATAACGTAACATAGTCTATATCGATATAAAGGATATTGTCACATCTTATATCTCGTATAAAAATATATCGATATGTTTTAAAAACTCGATATATCGCCCAGCTCTAACTCAAACTCAGTATCTGATTTTGTCATCACGTGCTTGAAACTACTGCGCGAAAACTGGGATCAGGCACTGAGGACTCAACGTGTGTTTATGTGCACAAACAAAAAGCATGCATTCCACATCAACATCAAACTCTTAGTTTAAAGCATCTGGGAATAAATATTGAATCATTGCTTAAGATCAAATACCGTTATGACTGTTAACCTGCAAAGTTTTTGATCCATCAAATGGAAGCAGAAAGTGTAAACATGCTTCACCAGCTATAAAATATCCACAAACAATGCAGAGCATTTACTTGTCCTAAAAGCACAAAGACTACAAAACAAATCCATAGCTTGGAGTATTTTTTTTTTTAAATCAATCATGCATTTGTAATTTAGGCAAAACAACAAAAATGCACTAATATTTACAGAAGGAATTGACTGAACAGCTCAACAGGATGAGGCAGAACTTCAAATGCATACCTTATCTAAGACTCAGGTTTTGTTAGTAATATCAGAAATTTTGTAATATTAATAATAACTATACACAAGGCAAGATAAAACTGGGGTTCAGGTTTAAGAATGCCTTGGTAAAGTCTGATTGATGGAAATGTTTTATGATAATGGCGACTTTTTAAAAGCTGAAAATACAATGTAAGTGTATTTACTTTCTAATCACAGATGAAAAACAAACAAACAAACAAACTGGTAATTATCTTGCAGAAAAAACTCATCATTAAACTCTCTCAACTCAAAGGCCAATTATTTTTGGTGGACTTACATGTTTGTAGCTGTGCAGCTGTGGTCTAAAGCAGTTGTGTGATCATATCTCAGTTGGGGAGGTGGCAACTTCCCAGGGTGATGTGGGATGTTTGTTAGTGACACGCTGCGGCAGCATAAAAACCACAACACACAGAGAGTCGAGTGTCACACCTGTGAGAGACCGAGATAACAAATTGAATTAGAGTCAATTTATGTAGTTTGTTGGATTTTGTTCGTGCAAACTGCCCTTTTTGTTCGTGCAAACTTGAAACTGTCACAATAGCAAACAACACTTCCACATCACAAAACACAGAATTGAAAGCCCTCATCTGGATGATACAGGCACATTACTCTTCTTTATCCCAGTCAACATCTAGTACATGGAGCAGTTTGCAACAATAACTCAGGATTTCGGGGAGGGGGCGTCCTATATATGCATGTTTTCATAGGTCTTTTGTGCTACTGTTTATGTACAGCAAACTTAGAACAAATTAGGTGACAGGAGCTAATATGGTACTCTTTTGCATTAAAACTGAACTCTGCCTGACCTACAACCTTGGCATGCTTCAGATGACCTTTGGTACCCCTGAGATCAAAGGTCAAAGGAATTTCTGAGTGAGACAAAATGAATGAATCAGAGACAACAGCTAACATTTAGTTTGTCATCACCCTGACAGTTTCTTCTACTAAAGACCAAAAGCTTTATTTACATCTCTTTCTATGCCTGTTACCCGTTACAGATCCATATTCCAGCTACAGATCCGTCATTAGTTAAAAAAACAAAAACAAACAAACATTAAATAAGTGAATAATTGTTCCCTACATTTACCAGTTAAGTGGATTGAATGTTGATAACTACCTTATCAATGAATATAGACGTGTAATATATGCATAATAATTCTAACTGGGCAGCAGTTAGCACTGCAGCGAGTGCTTGAGACAAAATAAATAAATATTGCGGGAAAATACACGAAAGACCAAGTCATTCTCCAAACTACGTAACTGCATAGAACTACACACAACATACACAGCACGTTAAGAACGCAGCAGTGTCGCAGGTAATCTGATAAACAACAAATCAAATATTCTATCGATAAAGCCACTAGACGTAACGATACTGCGAAATGTATCACATACTGCTACTACGTAGTATCTACCGGTAACCGGATCATAAAAACGACCCAATTTGTTGCAAAACAACTTTACTCCTCAGCTTTTCCTTTGCTAACCTTCCATGTCGGCGCATCGCCATTTCCACTATGCTCAAGTGACAGCTGCGCACGTAAACTGCGTTTCAGAATACAACTTTGACGGGATTGATATTCTCGAAATGACGTACGTCACATTTCACATGAGCTTCTGCGCCATAGCGCCTTTACTACGCTACCAAGAGAACGTAACTTGTGTCACGAATACGGCCTACGGGGCTACAAACAAACAGCCTAGCAGCTAGCTCGCTAGCATGTTAGCGACATGTAGCTAACGTGCACACTGACAACAGACAGCGCCCGCTGCTACAAAAACGACCTTTACGCGAGCGTTAAAAGGAGAAAGACACAACGCAGAATATGTACAACAACACCAAGTCGCTCGCGCCTAAAAGCTAAAAAAATGAGTTGTATCGCGTGCCCGAACCGGTGCAAGGCCTTGCGAAGACAGCTCATGCTCCGCTTCCCGAAGCGCTCACAGAGCGCGCGGGAAATATGCCACCGATGCCCGCTGTAAGCGTTTTATCTGATCCCCGGGGTCGTAAGCTTTCGTTTGGTGTACGAACGTAAGCCACACGAAGGCGAAAAATGATATTTTTACCTTCTTCAGTCGGTTGTCAGCGTTCACAGACCTTCCTCGCCCCAAATCCAGAACAAACAGTCCCGTTTCACGTCAATGACGTCAGACGCACGGGGGGCAGGCCAACAAATGTCACCTACAACTCCTCCCCTCTCTCCTGGGTTAACATCACGCAATAGCTTGTAATCATTTCAGTCAGGAGACAGGTCGGTGTTCACTTTACTAAACGAGTGGGTCTAAATATATAACCGAGTAAAAAGTGCGCGTACACTAAAACCTGTTTTTAGTTAGTAGAAAACAAGCTGACAGCTTAAATGTGCACGGCACGGACGGCACGTAGGCCACCGAGCTGACATCTGTTTCCTCTGTAAATACGTTTTCTACAAACTATAGAGAACACAACGGAAGTTAAAAGCATTTCTAAAACTTGACAATTTGTTATACGGCTTATCGACCTACTGCAAATAACCTTTTATTGCCCGATTTGATCTCAGGCCCGTGTGCGCACGGTTGTTGTGCGTAATTAGATGTTTAGATCTTGATGGGAGCGGGGTCCTCCAGATGTAATGCTGTGTGAGTGGCATGAGGGCTCATTCTACTGTTTGGTAAGTGTGAAAGTCATGAAGATGTCAATCCAGCTGAATACTGATGGAGATAATGGCGGTAAATTGTGCTTTTCTGCCTTTTCCTGTGTCCTTGAAGATATTATACCACTCGTGTTTATGAAAACTGTTATCAGTGCTTGGGTAGGAGGGAGTAGGTACACCACCTAGTGGTTGGGATGGTGTTAAATTAAAGCACAGTATCAAAACAACCTCTGCAACAGGTTATCAGAATTATGGTCAACAGTCTGCATCAAAATGTGCAAAATTAGCAGTGAATATGTACACATCACAAATGTGATGATTTGCTTTTGATACCCTGCTCAGTTTACGTTAAAGGTCTACACATGCAGTCCTTCTCCAATTCAAACTTACTGGCCACTTCATTAAGTATGTTTGTTCACCAGCTTGTTAACACAAATATCTCATCAACTAACCATATGGCAATATCTCAGTGCATTTGGGCATGTAGACATGGCCAAGACGACCTGCTGAAATCCAGACTTCAGTGACTTTAAACGTGGAATGGTTGTTAATGCTAGACGGGCATTGCTGATGGTCTGGATTTTCCCGCACAGCCATCTCGAGAGTTTACAAAGGATGCTCTGAAACAGAAAATATCCAGCGAGTGGCAGCTCTCTGTGAAAAACTGCCTTGTTGAGGTTAGATGTTTACGGCATGTGCATAAGAGCATCTCTGAATGTGTAACATGTTAAATGTTGAACTACACTAGCAGCACTAACTTGTACACATCTTTGTGTAAATGTAAATGCCTGTGTTATTATGCATTACACACAACTGAGAGATCGCAAACTGTGTTTCATTGTTCTTATAATAAAGACATGTAGAAAAAGAGAGCGATTCTTTTCTATTCAGAAGACCACACCAGATGCAACTCCTGCCAACTAAGAACAGGAAACTGAGGTCACAGTTTGCACAGGATAAATCAACAAGACTGGAAAAATATTGTTGGTCTGATGAGCGGATTGCTGCTGTGATATTTCGACAGGCTCGGAGTTTGGTGTAAACCACATGAAAGCACAGATCCATCCTGCCTTCTCTCGATGCTTCAGGAGGCTGGTGGCATTATAGTGTTAGGGTAATTTTTTGGCACACTTTCTCAAACATAATGAGCTCTCTGTACTCGAATCACCTCAACAGTCACCATATCTCAATCCAATAGAGCACCTTAGGGCTGTGATGTAACAGGAGATTCAGCTGCCATCATCATTATGAATCAAAAATCCACGAGCAGCGTTTCCAGCACCTCGTTGAATCGATGCCACAAATTAGTAAAGGCACCTTTTAAGCAGCCACTGAGTTAATTTCACTTTTATTTAGGAATTAACACAAAGAAACTGATTTAGTCAACGAGTTTATTTCTTTCCCAGACCGAGATGAAACTAAAATGACTGAAAATATTCAGAATGATATTCAAAATGTTGCACGCTTATCCTACAAACAGTCCCCTCAATCATCTCAGGCAGCCCCACCTGCAGAGTTAAAAAGCCCTCCTCCTAATAGATTTATCCAAAAGCTTGGAAAACAGTCATTCATCAATACTGGGAAAGGCCTGAAAGCCATAACAATGTGTAAACTCTGGACCCCCCCCCCCAAAAAAAGTACACAATATATCTCAATGTTACAATAGCCGCAATTTCTTAATTCTAAACAACTTACATTTTAACAAAAAGGCACAACAACAACAACAAAAAAAATTACTTTGACGTTTTCATAAATATGCTCATGTGTCTTCTTGCCAATGTTGAAATGAAAAGTCCAACAATGCCTCTCATGTCTGCACCGAGTACAAAGCTATTCCTGGGAACAGATCAGTTCAGCATTGAGACTGAGGAAGGGTAAACCACACGTCCGGTCTACTCTCATATTTAAAAAGAAGTCTACCCCTAACTTTGTATGCATGCAGAAGACAAGAGTTACTAGTTTTGACATTTGCTTTCATGTAAATCTCTGCAAGAAAGTGAAGAAGAAGAGCAGTAGACAAAATGTGCAACTGCTTTTTATCAAACTCAAACAACAAGCTCAGACTGACAGTGAAACATGACGGGAGCAGGTATATGTAATCCACAATACATGTGGCAGTCAAACTGGACAGTACAGGTCATAGACTGGTCCAAACAGATGTTCAGATGGAAAGGTTACTCTCTCACTCTCTCTCACACAGAGCAGAAATCATTCATGATCATTGGCATCTTCCTCTTCGTGCACTGCTGCCTCCAATCCTTCATCTCCCAAGTCACCGTGTAATCCCTCTTCACCAATCTCATCGTGAACCACATATCCCTCATCCTCTTCCTCCCCAATTTCAAAACCTTCCTCTTCATCCTGGTTCTCCTCATTCTGGTTCCCCTGCTCCTCCTCCATCTTTTGCTCCTCCTCCATCTTTTCCTCCTCCTCTTCTGTGCCTGCTGCTGCTACTGCTGCTTCTTCTGATGCTGCTGCTTCTTCTGATGCTGCTGCTTCTTCTGATGCTGCTGCTTCTTCTGATGCTGCTGCTGCTTCTGATGCTGCTGCTGCTTCTGATGCTGCTGCTGCTTCTGATGCTGCTGCTGCT